GACTGGGGTGCAGTGGCCGCTCCCGGCCACCACAGCCTCGACCTGCTGGGCTCTGGCGATCCTTCCGCCTCAGCCTTCCAAGTAGCTGGAACTACAGGTGCGTGCTACCACACCCGGCTCATTTTTTTGATTTTTTATTGTAGAGATGAGGTCTCGCCAAGTTGCCCAGGCGGGTCTCGAACCCGTGGGCTCAGGCAATCCACTCACCTCAGCCTCCCAAAGGCGCGGGATTACAGGCTGAGTCACCGAGCCTGTTACTTTCACCTGCCCTCCTTGTCTCTCTGTTTTGGGGAAGACCAAAAAATTTCTTTTCATTCTTAAAGTTACCTTCGAGCAGGGATCCACAAACTGACTCATGGCCCACATCTAGCCTGCTGTTTCTGCATGACTGCCTGTCTAAGAATGGTTTTCACATTTTTAAAGGACTACATATATCAAAAGAATACGCAACAGCTATTTACCATCTAGTTCTTTCCAGGAAAAAAGCTTATCTAGGATACATATTCGTCTTAAAAACTCTCATACTAACCACTCAGATGGCTTGGTCAGAGCAGCAGAGCCGTAACTCCTGGAACCATGGCACGTAGGCACGTAGTAGGTACTCAATTCAGATTCTAATGAAGAGGCTTTTCTTTGAGCCTGGGACCCGGGAAGTGATGTGTCTCCCCCTGATCCCCAATCTATTTTAGTAGTAACGTATCTTCCCTTGTTTGAGTAAATACTTTTTGTCTAAGCAGAGCAGGTCTTGTTACTGCTGTTAATAATTGCCTTCTCTTTTGGCAGGAAGGCGACATTTGGCTGGAGGGCATGTGGGAGAGTAATACTAGTAGAGACCACTAGATGGAGGCATAGCTCTGAGAAATAGGCTCAGGAAGTGCCAAGTTGGAGGGCGGAGTAAGTCTTGTAATGTATTTTCCCTGCCCAGGACAGACAAACAGCATTGCAGACTTGGCTCTTCCCTGCTGTGTGACTATTGGACAACCTTAAGTCTGGATATCCTTATTTGCAAAATGGGGATTATAACAATGCCCATCGCGGGATGCTGCGAGCATCAGATCAGATAATACCAGAGACGGCACTTTGAAAACTGTGGAATATAGTACAAAGCAGAGTTAATGCAATTTCTGAAAGCCCTATCATCAGAGCTATGTGTCAGCAGGATTCCAAAACACGATAACTCCCATGACCTCCTGTGTCATAACAGTGAGGGCTGGGAGTGAGAGGGTAGCAGTAAGGTGGAGAGGGATTCAGAGTCAGCCAGACATGCGTGCAAAAACGCTTCTCAGCGTCTCCATTTCACCATCTGCAAAACAGGAAGGACTCAAGAGTCCTGCCTCACAGGGTTGTGAAGAAGAAATGAGATCATATATGCCAGGCAGTTTGCACAGTGTCTGGAACAAAGCAGCCACTCAGCACATGTTGCTTTGTGCATGGGCTGCTTGATGCTTTTTGTAAGTCTGTCTCCTCTCTCCCCTCCGCTTCATGCCTCTCCCTCCTCCCACTTCTCCCTTTAACTGTGTTGACCCATGGGTTATTGATGTAGTGCTGCTGTCTCTCTCCTGGGTTACATGTGCCTCCACTTGACTGGTCCACAGGCATCTTCAAGTCAATGTGGTCAAAACATAACTCCTCGCCTTCTTCTATGAGTTTCTTTTCTTCCTCTTCTCCTGGTGCAATAAAGGCTCCAGTCTGCACCCCGATTCCCAACACTCCTGCTGCCCCCTCCACACTTGTCATCCACTGCACCAAGTTCTACTGAGTCTACTGCTTAAGTAAGTTTTTAGTGTGTGTCTTTTCTCCATCCCACTCCCTTTGCTGCCCCCACAATCACTACCACAACCTCGTCTCAGCTCCTGGTTCCTTGTGATTTGCCCTTTTTTCCTGAAAGAAAAATCTAATGATTTTCCTGCCCCAAATCCTTTCTTGGCTTCCAACTGCAAGTAAGATAAAGTCCCGACCTCCGAACATGGCCTATAAGGCATCTACAAATGTCTTCTATCTTCCTTCTGACCTCCCTTTCTCTGTCCTGCACTTTTAATCTGAGATGTAGCCCAAGCGGGCTTACGTTTAGTTCCTCAAGTGACAAATTAAGCTTCTTTTTGTCACTGGTCCTTTGCACATGTTTCTCCCTCTACCTGGAACATTCTTTTCTGCCTCCTTCTCTGCTTGCCTTTCTCTCCCTGGCTAACTCTTGCCGATCTCACAGGTATCAGTTATCTCCTCCCAAAAGCCTTTCCTGACATCTCAAGAATGAGTTAATGCTTGCCTCCTCCACATCCCCTGGGATCTTCTGGTACTTGTTTTAATTTGGCCCTGTTGCATGGATTCTCTAGTGTTATTCCATGTCAGCTGCGATGGCTACCTGATGTTTGAGAGGCATCTCAACTTAGCAGGGTTCCCACCCCACGTCTAGCAGGAGGGCAAATGCCCATTCCAGATTTCTTTTTTTTTTTTTTTTTTTT